AAACACATCACTATTGTTATATATCTTTATATATATATCTTTATATATATCTTTATATATATATCTTTATATATATATCTTTATATATATATCTTTATATATATATCTTTATATATATCTTTATATATATCTGTAATAGGATATTAGCTATTAGGAAACTTTCAAGCAAAAGATACTAGCTTGTGAATCGAGTTGATACCTGGGATGGAAAGGTCATATGAGGATAGATTAAGACTTCTGAACTTGTTTTCTGTTCAAAAAATAAAAGAGGATCTGATTGAGGTGTGTAAGGTTGTTAAGGGAATTATTGATGCATAATTTTTTTTTCATATCTAATGTTGAGAATGATAAGACTAGGGGACACAAATATAAATTTTAGCAGGGAAGAAGTTCTCTTCAAGTAAAACAGCTTTATTTTTCTAGTAGGATAGTTAACCTCTGGAATGGATTGCTTTTGGATGTAGTAGATATAGTCAATTTAAGGGAAAGCTTGATAAATATTTGAATGATAAAAGCTGGCTTTGAGTTGTTTTTTCAAGGGTTTAGTTTAATTAGCTGACAGGACAGCCAAGATGGACTAAAATGCCCCTTACTATTCCTTAATGTTATGTTAATGTAAAGCTGATATTCACAAAGTTAAAACAGAAAAGACACTTCAGTTAGTGTGGTCATTCCATAGAATCTAAATAGCTTCTTTTGTTGCAGAAATGTATAGAGGAAATGAAGACTTGCTAGCTGGAATGGATATAGATGATGGGCTTCATATTGAAAGAACATGGTAAGAAGTTGTTATAAATTAACACAAATGGAAAATATTTTCAAAGTGAAAAAGAAATTACTAGTAGTATTTTTTTTTAATCCTGCTACTTATTAGTATTAGTAAGAAAAAACTCCCCTATTTAATAAGTAGCAACTTTGAGTTTCATATGCTTTTCGTGTCAGGCATACTAAAGGAAAATCATTCTTAACTCATAATAACAGTAACACACACAATAAACAAATCAGATAAAAATTGTTTTTGGTAATCAGTTAATCAAATAAGTTTAATACTAAATAACATTATGTGAGTCAGATATCAGTTCTGTTTTTAGATGAATATTGAGATACAGAAACACTGTACATCTAATAATATACATAAAAGGGTGTATATCCAGCTTTAATATCATAATTGCTTTTGTGCTAGCACACGGAGTGAGGCATCAAATTCTTCTGATCTTACTGATATGGAGGTTGCTATGGCAACAGCAAAAGCACAAGGGCTTTCTAGACAATCTAGCATTGGATCTCCTTTGGATTTTCCATCTCGTCCGAACACCAGCACTCCCTCTGAAGACTATTCTGGTAGCGACTCAGAACCTTCAAGTCCAGGGGACAGAAAATAGCTTATCCATCGAATATTACTGCCACATACTCTACCGAAGTGCCCAACTTATCCTAAATAGCTGGAAAAATGCCACTTGTATGGATGTAGGAAAGACCTTGTACATATTTCAGCACAAACTTATCTTTGTGGTATATATATCAGTGAGGTTTACATTGAAAAACAAAACTATGCCATAGTTATGGCTAACTATTTAAATATAACTGTTATATAAAATCTAACTAAATACCACATTTTCGAAAAACAAGATATTGGTCCTAAACCACTGGATAGTACATGTGTTTGTCTTGGAAGATGACAGTGGGAGACTGTGTAGCTATGTCTGGATTTCCAAAGGTTACAAAGGAAAACAATTTGTCTCAGATTTCTTTTTAAACACCAGTAACAAAATTATGCATAGAAAAAAATCATGCTTAAAAACTTATTTTAATACAACACTTGCATTTAATGAAATGTGACAATAATTAGTAATTTTAAATAGTTAATGTGTTGAACTTAATATACTTGAAACTTTTTATATTTTTGTTTATCGTAACAACTTATAATATTAGCAATATCTTGTATAAAGATTTTGTGAAATGTCACATGTGGACTAAATGCAATGTTCAGGTCAGTATCTCACTTTCTGAAGGCTGTAAATTCGTATTTTCTGCCAGTAAATATACTGTAGGTTTTAAGATGTTGGTTTAGTTAACTTAGCATCCATGTTTTAAAGTATTTATTACTAACTGGAACTTTGGGGAGTGTGATTTTGCTTCCATGTTTTTTATAGTTTTGTATTACGAACTGTAAAATGTTAGATGAGTTATTAGATTTCTGTCTCTTTATAACTATATATTTAGAAGAGATTTTAATTTCAAGAATAATCTGCATGACATTCCAAATAGAAATTAAGGAAATCTAACAAGTCTCTAGTTTCTGTTTTTAATGTTTTATCATTCTTTGATAATTGCATACTAAATGAGTGGTATTAGTAGTATTGACATGAGTAAAATTGAATTATTATATCTTTTTAAAGTTGATTTCTAATTTTAGAAGCTTCAGACTGATTTTGTGGTATTTTTATTTGTTTATTTTTTATCATAAAACATTGAAAAGAAGATGTTTAAAAAAATATCAATAATGACAACACAATAAACATTCAATTTTAAGTACTGTTCACTTAGATAGTTTTTAAGCTGTTGTTGATTAAAGTTCAAAATATTTTGAGGCAATCCCACATAATTGATAAAGAGAAGTAATTAAGTGGTGGTTGATGATGCAAAAAACTGTGAGTTGAATGAAGTAATTGTATGCATTATTTAGCATCTCCAAGATAAAAAAAACAAATATTTCATAGTTGTGTTACTACTCCGACCTTTGGAATGGCTTGGTCCAAGTACTTACTGCAGAATCTTGTAATAATAAATTACTAATATCCTTTTTTGCATGAAAATGATCTAAACTTTTTGTATTCTTTAGTTTCTGATTCATCATTCGTTTAATAGTAACATTAGATTTTGAAGTAACATAATTTTTTAATTTAGAAATTAGAATTGAACAATAAAGAAAGTGTTTTATATTTATTACTTTAAAAATGTTCTGGTAAAGTTACCTGCTTTCAAAAGACTGCCGTGTATGGTAAAAATCCTACCAGTCAAAACTTAACTGACAAGGCAAAACTAGCCAAAGTTTTTTTACGTTTTACAATTAGCTGGTTTTGCTTTAAGGGGAGATTGTGGAAGCTGTTGATGACCACCTTGTTACTAAAATATGGCCATGAGCAGTTAATTGATGGTTGAAGTTTTGCTAACCTAGAGCATGAAGTATTGTATAAGAAGTGTTTTGATGAGTTAAATATCAGTGTTCAAAATTGAAATGGTGTTAAACACAATTCAAAGTATCTGGTTTGTGCAATAATCAAGTAAGGACTGAAATAGGACTAAAAGCTGGACTGAAATAGTATTCAAGTCATTCTGATAACAGAAGTGATACAAACGTTGTTTGACTGGAAACAATGTACATGTTTTGAGGTAATGTTTTATATTTCTTTGATTTGTCAAATTTTGCCTGGATATTGTTTGCACTTAAACTCAAGTTATAGTTAAACATGGTTGGCTTGGTATGCATACTGAAGTGGTTATAATTTACATGGTTGAGTGTGTAAATTGTAATGGAAAATTTGTTTGGTATAGAAGTGAAAGAATAATGGTGAAATGTTGTGTACATATTTGAATAATGCCATACTGTGGAAAAAGTCAATTATTATGAGTTGATAACACTATACATATATTAATATTCAGACTTGGATAATCCTTTGACTAATCAGAGTTGTCAAAGAAGCATGTACTAATGATTAAACCAAAGCTTATTTGTTTAATAGCTCTCATACCTTTTCGATTCTCCACAGGTCACATTTGATGATAAGTGGTAGGTAAGTTTTAACCTTGTCTCTTAAACTTGTATTCATGTGTTAAAGGCTTTTCCTTAAAAATATAGTAAAAACAATCTTATATGCTGAATTTATGCAACAGGTAGTACAAAAAAGTGGATGAAACAACCTAGTCACTAACAGACATTATAACACAAAAAACAGTTACAGCTGTTTGGGTACCTCATATTGTAAATAGTTTTAGCATGATATTTTTTGTCATAATTGCTTCTGTTTGCAAATAATTAAAAAAAATTGCACTGAATGCCATTTCTGTCTTGAACCTAGAGATGATTGAACAATTTATTTTTCAGTCTTGTACAGAAAAAAAAAGATCAACTACATGTACCTGATATAATTGATGTAGTAAGTTTGCATAACTTTTATTTTGTTTTCCTTGGAGAAATGGACAGATCTCCCATAAACATTTTGTACTTTAAACCTGTACTGACCTTGAGTGTTTATATCTGTCAGACTATATCTGTGGCATTGCAAGTGTTTTATTTTCATATTTGTTCTGTTTGAGTTTGTTTTAAGAAAACTGTGTTGTGAAACAAAAGCTGTGATGCATCAAGAATGGAATAATGAACAGATGTTTGCTATTATTGTTTCTGTGTTGGAGATTTAGTGTATACATATGGTATTACACTAAAAATAAGAATTCTGATCCATGGCCTTTCACTTGACACTTTTTCGCCAACAGAATTCAGAAATGAGAATATAACTATCTTATAGGTATAGAGCTACAGGACCATTATAACTACAATCAGAGTATGGAGATATTAGCCAAAATATTGTGGTTTTTTTTGATAAAAATGTTTGATATAGTAAATAGAAAAATAATTTTAGTTTTTACATCAATTTTTTCATTAAATTTCATTTAACTGTATGAAGAAAATCTGAATATTTTTGTGGACTTGTGTGGTATGCAACATTGTATTTCTTGTTTTTACTAAAGATTACATGACAAAGTAGGTATTTTTCTCTAAGTGCACAGTTTGTTTCTTTGTTTGATTCTGCTAATCTCCCTTTTTAATTTGTTGTAATTCCTTTGTTTTTAGAACTACTTGTGAATTATTTTTACTCCATATTTGCTACATAATTTGTAAAGACAGAAAATGATCTACTATTATATGGTAATATATATATATATATATATGTTAGTCTATCTGATGGTAGATCATTGTACATTAAAAGGTCTGATGCTGTTGTTAATTGCATGGTTTGATAATAAAATATATGCAATTTTGGATTACTACCTTTTAATCTCACAGTTATTTCACCAAGACAATCTGTAATACAGAACATGGATGATGTTTTAGCATAATGATGCTGTATTAGTTGTAAGACCTATAATAAGTATTGACTTTTTCACTTGTGGTTTAAGATTATAATAAAGAAGAAATATACAAGTCGTTACAGTTTTCAATAAGATAGAAGAAAGTTAACCAACTGCCACTACAGTTTTGTGGAAACTTCTGTGATGATCTGGATGAAACCAGTTTTACAGAATATTTTGGATTTTATAAACTGTATAAAACGTTACCTTATTGACCTGTGATGCACAGAAATGATGGCTTTATCTGCATGGTGTAACCGCAGTAAGGACTGTGAGTCGTTTATTTTTAGAGACTTCCTATTCTCCATGCTAGTTTTTACATGGAATTCTTTTTAACCACTGTTTTAACCATTTCCCTCTTGTACATAATACCATGTTTTATTCATCACATTCAACTTATGTTGCTGTTAAATAAGATTGCAGTGTTGCATTGAATTTAAGCACTGCAGTAGCAAATGTGAAGTTTGTGGTTGATAGGATATTTCATGTATATCAGTTTTTCATATGGTAATTACTGAAATTGTTTGTGCATGTTTCACATCCCCAGAGACCCATAGAATTATTTTCATTGAAGTAATCATTTGAGTTGAGCTTGTTCAGTACTAGTATGTTCTGTACATAGGACATTTCATTCTTTTTTGTACCCAGTGTTTATGTAATAGATAAAAGAATATGATATTCAAACATTGAATTAGTTTATTAATATAAAATTGTTGTATTTTTGTAGCTTTGTAGAGTTTGTCCAATAGCTCAAAGACTATATGATGTATGAGTAAATCAAATTGATATTGTAAGTATAATATTTAATTTACCATATTTGAAGAGCATGGTAAATTAATAATTTACAAAAACAACTCGTGAAAATACATTTGTTACTTAAATGTCTGTCTATTTATGAAAGTAGTGATGTAAATATCAAGAATTACAATTTTGTTTTGGCTTACAATTAACGTTTAAGAATGAAAGTTGAATTGCAGTTAAAATTTCAACTGATTCATTTTTAACTTTAGTAGTCCCACTGTGTTTTAGAAAATATTTAAAGCTAATAAGACTGAAACATTCTATTTAAACAGCAAGTCCTTTAATTATAATTATTACTAATGGTACAGTTTTATAATTCTAAATTTAAATTAAATGATCCACAACTGAGGAGCATACAAACACTCATTTAATTTTGTAAAATTTCAACATATCAGGCACTGAAAAATTTGTTACATTAGGAAACACAAGGCTGTAAAAAGATATTGTTGCCTACTCACTGCCAGGAATACAGGCCTTCAAATTGTAAGTGCTTGTCCAATCATAAGATTTACATGACAGAAGTTGTGAATAAAACAACACTACAGAACATAAAGTATAGATTAGAAGAAGACAAAAAAAAAGAGTATCATAAAATTGACTGAAAATTAAGCACCTCAAATGTCAACCTGTTATGAAACAGGAAAAGCTGTTAAGGTTTTAGTGATGTCAAGTCCTCGAATACTAAAGAATAAAAATGTAGTAACTCTGTTGTGTAGAATACTGAAAGGTAAGTAGTGTTGAAAAATGTGTTTCCCACCTTTCAATAATTGAGTGCTTTGTTTTGCTCCATTTGGACTTAGTCAAAGTCAAGTAGAGTTGAAATAATACGGCGCTCCATTTGGACTTAGTCAAAGTCAAGTAGAGTTGAAATAATACGGCATTTAAAGAAAATAATGGACTTTTACCTTGAATACCATATGGTCTGTGTAATGTCAAGCTTTTATATTTCAATAAAGTCAGCTGTATTTAGATTACTTTGTCCCATTATTCTAGTCTACAATGGTGACATCATAACCACAAGGTCTTCCAGAGAGTGAGCAGTAAGTTTATAGACTTACAATGACAAAATCTAGGGGTTTGATTCTCTGTGGTGGAGGGAATGCAGATAGCTCATTGTGTACTTTTGCTCTAAGAAAACAACATTATAACTATTTTTTTTTAAAAACCTGAAATGAAGACTAGAAATATTTGTTTTATTGCTGAAGTATTTTTTTGAATATTAGTGATTATAAGAGGGATGCCAAAATATAAGAGTAAAAGTTGAAATTGTGTAGAATTAGCCATTATAAAAGAGCTCAACTGAAGTCATACTTTTTGTGTTTATGAATATACTACCATCATATTGTGAAATTGAATTTGAAAACTAATTATATTATTTGAAAGATTTTTTGAGAAATTATTAAACTAGTACTACTCTACCCATTTTCTTAATAATAGTAATTCTGTGGCTTAAGGATATACAAGAATTGGGGATTTTATTAAACAAAATATATCTATGCCATTTGCACATCACATTCAGGTGAAGTTATTATACAGCTATAAAATACTGGAAGTGGTATAAAACATTTTACTTCCAACAAAGTACCTTACTTCTGCTCACATACATAGCTATTCTCATTCAGTGCTACTTTCTAATTGAAAGATGTTTTTTGCATGCCACAAACCTTTCATTCCCACACACACCTTGATTCACATGGTTTAACTGATTCTTGCATGCAAACTATCATGTGACAATCCTCCACCAATAGAAGCGCCACACTCATATGACTACCTAATTGATATTCTACCTAACTATCACTTCTTGTTTGCCTTTGCTCGTGTTCAAACATTTAGTTTTTGCTCTCTTAAAGTATTTTTGAATCTTCATATTATTTACTCTTATCGAGTTTACTATTTATTATCCAATAGTACTAATTTGTAACTTATCCCGAAGTGGGTTACTTTATATTTCTACCCAGTTACGGAACTTAGTCATTAATTACAAACTTTTTCTTATTTTTTACTTCTTTTTACCAACACAGTTGTGTTTCGTTATTTTTTTTTAATTATGAATTCCGAAGTTCAAGTTACCACTGTGGAGGTTATACCTTCTACCGGCACATTTACACAGGCTTCAGGTGGAGGGACCTCGACTATGGAATTATTGACAATTATTCATTGAGAAATTGATTGTTATTTGAATCAACCTTCTCCTGATATTGCCCACTTTCCTCCTAAACAAACTGAACCTGTTTGGGATGATGAAGCATTTGACAGACTTTTTCCTCCACCTGAATATGCCATGTCTTCCCAAGTTCATATTGTGGGATCAACTAGGTTGCATACGGCATTTTTGGATATGATTTCACAGGCATGTTTTGTTTTATCTCTCTCTCTCCCTAATTTCCTATAATCTCCTCCCTTCCTTGTGGCATGAGACACTTTCCTCTTAGTACTTCCCCCTGAAATTGGGGTTCATGCTGAGCATTTTATATCTCGTGTGAGGGCGCTTGCATGCATTGCACTCTGTGAGCTTTTGATCAGTATGCTTTAGTCTACCATCAGGCTGATTTTCCATTCCTTGATTCTCAGCACCTTGAATCAATTTTACCTGTTTGGGGGATGGACCCTGATTATCCTGTTCATTTATCCCATGCCCAATTTTCTCATCTTCATCTTACCCTCACATCTATCCCACAGTACTTGTCATCCATCAACTTTCTCTTCAGGGAGATCCACCGCAATTCTGAGGGTTTCTAGGGTATAAATTTGCCCTAATTACATCCATGTTAACACGTTTGTTGATTTGGGCTCTTTCTTTGCACATGTGGTTCCTCTGTTGTTGGGATCTTTTGGGAAAAGACACGGTATTGTCCATAGTTCGTTTGCCACCTATTTATCTTAGGGACTTACACTCCATACATCGGTATTTGGATATATTCTGGCAACTTTGGAATCCAGAGTGGAATAGTGAGATAATAATCGACTCTTTCCTCGTTGGTTGATCATTTGTCTTGCTCTTTGCCTCGACCATATGCTATTTCCATTTCCCCTCCTAATACTTCCCATCCTTTACCTGTTCCTTCCTCCAGAGGGATCTTTCTTTCATCATTTTATTCGACACAGAGTATCATGCCATGTGGGCTCTAGTCTGGTGGAGGCTCATTTATCCGAGTTTATTCTTCTATGGCGGGATTTCGCCAAGGATCTCTGGGTTCTCTGATTTTATTTGAGGGACTTGTCATCAACTTTCTCTCCTTCTCCCCCGTTATCTTGGATCTCAGTTACCTTTCCTTTGCTTCGGGACCCCACCATATGTCAGCATTTGTCTGAGATGGTACAAGATCTTCTCTCTCAGAATGCCATTAGACCTGTCATTCATCTTTCTCTGGGGTTTTATTCCAGGCTGCTCATGGTACCCAAGAAAACCAAAGACTGGCAGCCTGTAATCGATCTGTTCTGCCTCAATCACTTATTGGTGCTACCTCACTTTACCATGGAGTCATTTCTCACCCTCAGGTGGATTTTGTATCCACGTTTATGGATGACCAAGATAGATGTCTCGAATGCTTATCTACGTATTCATATATCTCATCTCATCTGTTGAGTTGCTATCTTTGGTTTCTTCATCATGGGGTGGTTTATCAATTTTTCTCTCTCCCATTCGAGCTTTCTTTGGCACTATGTCTTTTGTTGAGTGGTTAAGGCTTTTGCTAGACATATGCATGCTCGAGGGTTGCACTTTCACCATTACATGGATGACTGGCTACTGTTGGCATTTTCTGAACTAGAGTTTGCCCAGCACACATGTCTGTTTCTTTTCGAGGCAGCTTAGGTTAGTTAGTTAACCAAGTTGGAGAAGTCCTTACTCGTTCTTACCCAATATCTTATCCATTTGGATGTTCTTCATAACACTCATCTCAGTCAAGCCCAACCTTCTCCTCTTCGACTTCACTCGATGGAGCTGGCAGTTCTCAAGACCTGTACTGCTCGTGATGTCCTATCTCTTTTGGGGATGTGCAGCACTTATCTCCATGTGTTGTGCTCATATGAGATCTCTTCAATGACTCTCCACAACCAATGGAATCTTGTGCAAGATCCCTTAGATGTCCCTATTACCCTTTATCCTTCCATTGTAGATGATCTGCATTGGTGGTTCGATATGGCTCACACACTGGCGGATGTTCCACTTCCTCTTCTCATTCAGATTTATATATTTTCATGGATGCTTCACTTCATGGCTGGGAGTATGGGTCGAGCAACGAGTAACTTAAGATCAGTGGTCTCTGACTGAGCAATCTTCCCATATCAATATCATGGAGTTTCTCACTGTACATCGGCTTTGAATAATTTTTTTCATCTTGCAAGCAGTCATCTGATTATGATCCATTCAGACAATTTTACGATGGTGGCATACATCAATCACCAGGGAGGCACCCATTCTTGTTCCCTTTGTGGTTGATCGTTTGATCTCCTTTTAGGGCCCAGACATATGGTATTCATTTCTTTGTGTGTCAAGTACCGGGTGATTCCAACCTTGTCTCGAATAGTCTTTTTTGCCCAGACAAAATTTATCTGATGGAGTAGGTCCCCAGTGGCACAACAACATGTCTGCAGACTTAAAACACTATAAACTGGGTTTTGATACCTATGTTGGGTGGAGTATTGATAGCCCATTGTGTAGCTTTGTGCTTAACTTAAAAAACAAACCAATGGAGTGGACTCTAGATCCTCAACTATTTCACTGGTTATGCATTGGTGGGGTACTCCATTTGCCATAATCCTCAATACCTAGTTACCTCGGTTTTGGTCTCAAGAACCTCATCCACCTGCACTAGCTCTTGATGCTTTCAGTCAAGATTGGACAAATTCCTTTATGACCATGGTCACTTCTATCTTCCACACCACTCTGTGGCAAGTTTTCTGATTGCCCCTTACTGGCTGGCCCAGTCCAGATTCCAACTGCTCCCCCATTACCTCTTCCCATAACCCCATCCCATCTACAGCAACCTTGTCCCAGGTAGTTAATCCTGCCCTTCATATCCTTTGTGTTCATGCCTGGTTTTTATCCATTCCTTGGCAAGGAGATCCAGTTTGTCATGGCCAGTAGCTTCATTTTTAGCACATTCCATTCACCCTTCCTCCTATTATTATGGTTTTCCTTACTTGGTTATTTGATCAGAGGACTCATGTCTCCTAAATCAAGGGCTATTGGGCTGCCTTATCCCACACTTTTTGTTTTTGTTGGTACCATAAGGTTTTTACCTCTCATACCACATTACTATTGTTGCATTCCTTCCAGATTAGTCAACCTCCAAGGCATGCGGTCTTTCCAGATTGGGATGCGAGTGTGGTGCTGTGATGCCTTACTTTATCTTCACTTGAACCTTTGTCAACTTGTCTCGTCTTTCACTTATCCCTTAAGGCATATTTCCTCCTTTTGACCTGTGGAAGTCATTGGTAGGATTTGTTTGCCATTGATGTTTCACGAATTCTTCACCATTTCACTTATATTCTCCTTTACCCAGATTTATCTTCCCAAAACTTTGGCGGTGCAGGAGGGTAGTTCCTCTTTATTGCTGATTTTCATTCTTTCTATTTCTCACCCCTATTCCCGAACTGATCTGGACAGGCTTCCTTCTGTAATAACTGTTCCTCTGTTCATGATCTTTCTTTTCCACCTTTACCAATTGGGTTCAGCTTTTAAATCGATTGGCTTATTCTTCCTTGTCTGCTTCTTGTAATTCGTTCCATGTGTCTGTCTTCTCATCAGATTAGGCATCTTACTTTTTCCCTGTCATCTCATCTGCATTGTCCTCTGGGCGAAAATCTTTATCAGTCATGTGGACACTCCACATTCTTTCATCTTTCACTATGTTGCTATTTCTTCCACACCGGCTTATTGTCTTCTACCTATTGCCATTCCTCAGGCTTCAATGCAACTGTAACTGGGTAAGTTTTCTTTCTTTTGTTATATATATATATATTAT